CAACACTCTACACACACAACCACAAACTTTGCAACACTCTACACACACAACCACAAACTTTGCAACACTCTACACACATAAACGTTGCAACACTCTACACACACAACCACAAACGTTGCAACACTCTACACACATAACCACAAACGTTGCAACACTCTACACACACAACCACAAACGTTGCAACACTCTACACACATAACCACAAACGTTGCAACACTCTACACACACAACCACAAACTTTGCAACACTCTACACACATAAACGTTGCAACACTCTACACACACAACCACAAACGTTGCAACACTCTACACACACACAATAAGGAAAAGCCACTCTTAAGTACACTGTGAAGTCATTAATTCCTCATCTGAATTCACAACATCTTTAGAGTACAATAATGCTGCCAAACACACTCCTCTCACAATAAGCAAAAAGAATTCATACTATGAAATATAACAGCGAAAAATCGACTCCCTTACCATATCTAAAACAATACCCAAAAAAAATAAATTTATAAAAATTTGCCTACTTTGTGGAGTCAAAAAAAAGGGTTGCTAATCATCCATTTCCATGAACATCTGAGCTGACATCAGCAACAGTTTCTCCTACCTTGTTTCAGACCCACAATCAATAAGTGAGACATGAACATCTGAGCTGACATCAGCAACAGTTTCTCCTACCTTGTTTCAGACACACAATAAGTGAAATCTGCCACTACTAGGGCCAACTTTATGCCCAACGTGTACATTTATTTTAGCGTGTAATACAAAAACCTAACAACTATTCTAAAAACCCTAACCCATAACCCCTAACCCCTAACCCCTAACACAAAATCAAAAACACTTAGCATCTAATCCAAAACACTAACCTGTAATCCCTAAACACCAAACACTAACCCATGATACACAAACTTAACAACTAATCCAAAACCCTAACCCCTAAACCCTAACCCCTAACAAAAATTAAAAAACACTTAGCAACTAATTCAAAACACTAACCCCTAACCCCTAAACCCCAAACACTAACCTATAATACAAAAACTTAACAACTAATCCCAAACCCTAACCCCTAACCCCTAACCCCTAAACCCTAACTCAAATTCAAAACACTCAGCAACTAATTCAAAACACTAACCCCTAACCCCTAAACCCCAAACACTAACCTATAATACAAAAACTTAACAACTAATCCAAAACCCTAACCCCTAACCCCTAACTTCATGTGAGTGCGACCTACTTTATGTGAGTGCGACCTACTTCATGTGAGTGTCACCTACTTTATGTGAGAGCGACCTACTTTATGTGAGTGTCACCTACTTTCTCTTCCAGGGCGGCCAAGTCTCTCTCCACCCCCTCATGCTTCCTCTGCAGAGCCTGCACACTGGCCAGGTCGCGGCCGTAGTCGTCGGTGGACAGAACCACGTCCTTCTCCTGGATCCACGAGATTGTCTCGTCCGCATCCCTGCCACGGGACACCAAAAACATACAGGGATCACATGAGACAGACATCGTGTATACATGCTGCACTTTCATGAGGCACTTTCATGGTTTCATGAGGCACTTTCATGGTTTCATGGGGCACTTTCATGGGGCACTTTCATGGGGCACTCAGATTACATCATTTTGAGACATCGTTAAAAATACACTTTATATCGACAAAACTGGAATTTTTTGGACCACTGCATTACTTTTGCAAATACTTGTGTATTTATGGACCCATTTCAATCATTTTTTGCACATGCATAAAACCCAACATTTTTGGTGATATAAAAATGTGATCCATCATTTCCAGCTTTTTTTCCATAAAATATCTTTAAAGCCCCTGTCAACTATGAAAGTGAGACAGTGTGTTGACACACAGACACCTGTAAGTCTCAATAGGTGAGACAGTGTGTTGACACACAGACACCTGTAAATCTCAGTGCGTGTAACAGTGTGTTGACACACAGACACCTGCAGGTCTCAGTGCGTGTAACAGTGTGTTGACACACAGACACCTGTAAGTCTCAGTGCGTGTAACAGTGTGTTGACACACTTCACTGTAC